CACAGAGTCGATATCCAGAGGAAAATACTCTTTTTAATTCCCTAATTTTCATTATCAATGCTCACAGAGCTTTAACCCTCAGGCCATGTTAGCAGAATGGACTATTACTGAGTTTAAAGCGATTATGTAAGCTTAAAATATGAGGTAATAACTCAGCTGTTGCTTATTATAGCCAATTGTTTGGATGCCGACGTTATTAGACTCCGTGCATAAAGGATTATTCTAATTTTATGTTTTCTTTTCTAAAACTCAGCTCAGGTCTGGTCCTGATGCAGTTTTACACAAATCTATCTCGACTGAGTCTCAGACAGCTTCTATTCAAACAACCATTACTCCCCCGACACACTTATTTACAATATTCATGAGTTATAATTAGTTGTCACACATGATGTTAGCAGCATGTCAGTGAGAGACGGCCTTATCAACACAGCGCCACATTTCAGGAGCCACATCTGCAGCGTTCGCGTCTCTCTTTACTTCATTAGCCGTCCACCCCCTCAACCCCACCCCACCCCCTTTCCCCCCCCCCCCCTCCTCCTCTCTGTTTCTCGTGGAGAAAGAATTTATTTTCCAGCCCAGCCTCCATCCCTCCTCTGTAAAAAGTGATGACTCTTCTTTCCTGCTACTAATTGTGTTTTCTGGAATTTTATGTGCCTGTAAAAAAAAAAAAAAAAAAGACTCAAGCCCTCCTTCACCTGTCTCTTTACACCTTTAAGAAAGATGCCGCAGGCGAGATATGCTTTTGTATACGGCTGTGGTGAAAATGGGAGAAATGGGGTGTCAAGCTGAGGTTTGGAGGGAGGAGGGGGGAGATAGCAGGTAGCACACATGGTTGTTGGTCTTTCTAATGGATGGAAATGAACTCTAACATACGTCTGTGGCTGCAGGCACAAACAATAAACAGGTTCTGTGGCCTCGGGCAGAGTCTGGCATTAGAAATGACTCATCTCAGAGAGGCAGTCCTCTCTTTAATTGCCTGATATTTGAATCAGAGACATAAATTCCCTGCTTCTTCCAATATTTATGCTTATCTCTGAATTCGATGGTGATTGTTCATGCTGTGATAAGGATCTCTAGAGACCGTGCAAATGTATCGTGAGATAAATAAGAACCTTGATTTAACGCTGGTGTGCGGCTCCTCTTTTTCATCCTGAGATATTTGTATTCATTTAGTTTTTTTTACTTACACGCTGTGAATATCGAGACATTCTCCCTCTGTGTTCTCACATGGGCTCATTTCCAGACATTTTACCGAGGAGCTGGCTGGAAAAGTTTCCGTCAGTGTTCAGAACAACTGACTCGGGGAAATGTTTATGAAAATGTCCAGAATTCAGTCCAGGTCTGAAAGCGTCTCATCTTTAAAAGACACGTTTTAAAAGTATTTCTTCTCTTGCACTCTAATGAAGAGACAAAAGGACAAGAAAAAATACATTGTAAAGCAAAATAGCTAAATATTAGTGTCATTCTATTCAGACTAGAAAAAGAGCTACAGCTGAGCTGCAGGAGATTTTTCCGCTCTTCATCCATCCAGCGGACTGTTGCACACTGGCTAAATTGCCTATGGATTATATCAACAGTGTTTGAACTTGCATCAACACTGTGTTTTTTTTTTCAGTCATGACCACGGCCCTTTAAACTTTGAACACAAAGTTTGCCATTTTGAAAAACACTCTTTTAAGATTTCTTTTTTTCTTTTTCTACACCCATTAAAATTCATTTCACTTTGCCATTTTTTTCTCAAAGCCTAAATCAATAGATGCCAGACTGTGACAGTGAGTGAACCCTGTGCACTCAGCTGTTCCTTTGATTTAAAAACGATGGATTTGTACAATAATATTCCCCCTCTCTCTCTCTCTACGTCTGACTTTTCTCTATGTGAGACAGGTGGTGAACATTTTGAGTGAAAAATAAACGCTGCATCCTTCACACACATTGTGTAGCTTTTATTCATCCTGTTAATGGCAAACAGGCCATTCAGGGTTCGGTACAGGGGGAAGATATTTCAGGGAGAGGATGTTGAGGCGGAATTGGTATTCTCACAAGCTTTTTGTGTGTGTGTGTGTGTGGCTTTGTTCCAAAGTGGTGTGAAGAGGAGATGGACAGGGAGGGGAGGGGGCCACTTTCTGGTGAAGGTCAGCGGGTTAAGCCGATGGGAATCCTTGGAAACGGGGTCCTGCCGAAAAGATGGAAATGTCCCAAGCCATGATTCATCGCAAAGGCATCCGTGTGTGTGTGCGTGTGTGTGTGTGTGTGTGTTTACAATGACGTCATCCCATCAGTCCGCGGGCTGACAGGCGCTGACATGCAGGGGCTGTGGAGGAGCAGTGTTTTCATTTCAACAGGCAAAGTGATGGACTGCCACAGAGGAGGCGGGGCTGCTCTGTGAATGGCAGGTGCCTCGCTGTTCCCTGTGCTCAGGGGGGAAGTGGATTCGAGGTTCACAGCTGACTCTCTGTGTTTAGCGACCAGACAGCCGAGCTCCCGCAGAGCGCATGAGCGACTTTCTGTATATTTATTTCTCCAGCTACTTTGCGCTCAGTGTCTGGAGTTCAGCTTCCATTTTAATCACAGTTTACTTTATGTGGCCGTCCCCTGCTACGGTCGCTCTCCCTCCTGCGCAGTCTGAAGCAGGTTAATTGAAGGGAGCTGCTGTGGGAGACGGGGAGATGAGCTGTAACTATCAATATGGGCCAGAGCCCATTTACCAGCTGCAGGAGCTAAACATAGCTTCACGACTCTAATGAAACGATCAATCCCCACCTCTAACCTGTGCTTACTTAAAGCACAGAGGTTTCAGCTGGCTTTTATGTGCAGTTTAGCCTGTTTGAAGCGGCTCTAATCAATATTTTGACATTAATAATGGATGTAATGACTCGGTGTAATTTGTTGCTGGTAGTGACGAACTCATAATTATCAGCGGCTCCTTTCAGATCTGTGGAGGGTTTAATACCTTTCAGCACTTTTACGGTAAGAGCCCAGAGTTTTACTGTCCTGCAGCAGTCCCATTAAACTCATTTCTAGCTGGAGCAACAACATTAGCAACAAGGTGGTGAACAGATTGCAGCAGCTACAGAACCAGATATTTTCCATGGAGTCGGTGGAGACTGAGGGTACGGACACACATGTCAATGTAGCAGCAGTGAAACTTTGCCTCCCGTTCACTTACAATCTGTGCAAGCGAGCAGGTGAAGTGAACTCAACTTCAGTGAACTCTGACCCGTGATATTCGCTTTGCATTAGCCGGTGTGTGACCATGCAGACTAGTGGTCTCGGTCTCCACTATCTGTCTCTTACGCTGCTCTGTGTTTCACCTTCTTTACCAGCTTGTTGCTAACTTTTAATTAATTCTGTGCAGTTTGCAGTGGGCAGATTTGTTGGAGCTTTGAGCTGCATCTCAAACGATCAAAGCATCAGAGAGGAGGAGAAATTACGTCTTTTTCAGTGTTTTGGCAGCGCAAACAGTTCTGGCAGTGTGAGCAATCAAAAAGCAATCACACAGTCATGAATCTTCTATGAATATGAGCTTAGGATAAAAGCAATAAAAGACGTCCCAGGACAATGTACAGTTATTTGACTACAGCTCATTAAGCTGTGGATTGTACAACTATACTGTCTGTTGTTTTAACTCATTAGCAAGAATTTATGCAGAGGCTAATCGTCCAAAATCATAAACTTCCAGTCTTGCAATCACATTTTAAATGCAATGCTCCATGATCCGTGAAATAAAGAGATTCAAACTAACTATATTGTCCACAGGAAGATTCTGGCGGCTGTTTTAAGTTATTAAATGTGTTCGTAATATATTATTTTTCAAGCAGCGTTCTCTGCATAAAAAGAGGTGATTAACTCAGAAATATTCTCGAACAGAATCCCTCACTGAGACTTGGGTCTATAGAGATTTTAGAGTTTTAATTAAAGCAAAACGAGCACCAAAAAAGCAGGAGTGATATTACCCAGGGACAAATTCACACCTTAAAAAACGTAGTCTATTTGTACATAAATAGGTATTTAAGATGAGCTCTTCAAGCTGGATCACATTGTGTTTTTTTACTGGTTTGTTTGAGTCTTTCATCAGGCCCCTGGAATACTGACCCAGTTCGGCATTGACTCTTGGTTGCCCCCAGTTGGCAGCCTTCGCTGAATGTTGGGTCACAACTCTGTCACACTGGCAGATTGTCTGGGGGAAGGCAATTCATGAGATCTAGATAATTATCCGCTGCGTGTTGTCTTGTGCATGACAATAATCCCTTTTGGGAGAAGACAGAAAGAAATAAAGACAAGCAGCAGAGAGATGGGGAATGAGATTATGTTATATAAGAGCTGACTTTTTAACTTTTAAGGTATTCAGGCAACCTTCCTACTTGGGCAGTGAGATCACAGAAGAGGAGGAGAAGGGGGGAGAAAAGTAAAATGAGGCCAGTGACACACAACAGGGGTCCCCTGGCACCTTGCACATATACAGTTTATGCCAAAAAACAGGGACATCAATCCTCTTAACCAGAGCCAGTGCGACTCAGTTGGCCAAGCAGTATGTGTATGCACAAGCTTTAGTGTGTTTGCAGTTGTGCGCTGCTGCTGCCTGCATCCATAATTAAGCCCGAGACACAACCATCAACAGGAATTGGCCGGTAGCAGCGAGGGTGGTGGGGGAGACGAGTGCTGCAAACTTTCCGAGAGATGGAGCGGGGGATGAAAGAAGGAGAAGAAGGAGGAGAGAAACCCATTAACATGCTAATGCCATCCTCAGCCCTTCAACTGCCTCGTTTGGGTACCTTGCCCGCCACCCTCGAATAGGCTCTTGGCGGGCAAACCGGTCGCCATGTTTACACAATAAACAAACAGCAATGAGGTTAAAGTCCTTTCATGCATCTGTTTGTGAATGCAGTATTAGCAACAGTCGGTCGTTGCGTAACTGTTTTGCAGCGTCTGAAGGACTCAGCTGACTGCTTTTTCGGCCTTTTTTGTCATCCCCGTGCTTTTTTCTTGTTTTTGTCTCCCAGGCAACAGAATGGGCACCGGACGAGGAAACCAGGAGATCCTGTCAGAGCAAAGGCAAAACAGAGGTAACCTCAATTACAACACTTCATGTCAGCGCTGCCGGGCTCACAGAGGGGCCATCTTGATATCTTCTGGCTTTTGTGGTGAGGTCTTTATGGGCCTCATGGGAGGGGTCTGTACAGAACAAGTATTTCAGACCCTTCAATCAAGAGCTGTTTTTCTTTCAGAGAAGAGAGGGCGTAAGGAAGGGAAGGGAGATGTGCACAGGAGAGCCCGGGGCAAAATAGAGAGACTCACAAAAACTTCCTTTCAGATGTGTCTGATAACTAATGCTGTGATCGATTCTTCTGTAACAATTATTTCTGGGGGGACTGATTGTGATTTTTACCCCCCACTGTGTCTATAGTGCAAAAGAATCCCAAATACACAAAACAGAAAATCTATCCTCTTTGAGACGTGTCACTGTAATTACCTCGGCGCTTCTCCCCAAACAAAGGCAGCAGCTTTCACAATAAAATGATACTCATATAATTCCATGTCGCACCTTTGTTAAAGCAGATTTGACTCTTCGCTGACATGCATTCATGACTTATTGTGAAGCCCCCGTCGATGTCACAAATAGGTTTCCATTCATATTTCTGAACAAAGACAGTGAAGCTGCACATCCTGAATTGCTTTGGTTTTGTGCCCGTCTGGTTTTCACAAACACTCGCTCCATTGTTCTTCTTAGGAAATGTCGAGGAGTTTTTAGCCAACCACCTCAGCGTGTAACTGCTGTGCGTCTTTCAAAGCTTTCCTCTCCTCTCGTTTCTCCGCAGATTGAATGTCAGAACTACATCAGAGTCCTGCTGGTGAACAAGACCGAAGTCATGACCTGTGGAACCAATGCTTTCCAGCCCCTGTGTATCACCAGAGAGGTACAGAGAAGTGTGTGTTTGATTTCATAGAACTTCTGTGAAAACACTTCAGGTCCTTTAGTCTCTGTATCTTTCCTCCTCCCACAGGTGGGCAACATGAGCAGCGTGCTGGAGCGGGTCAACGGTGTGGCGCGCTGTCCGTACGATCCTCGTCACAACTCCACAGCGGTGGTGACGGAGAGCGGAGAGCTGTATGCCGCCACCGTCATTGACTTCTCCGGCCGGGACCCTGTCATATACCGCAGCCTGGGTGGAATGCCTCCTCTCCGGACGGCCCAGTATAACTCAAAATGGCTCAATGGTACAGTTCTGCACCTACATATCATTTATTTTAGAGATTTTGTTTTGCGTTGAAGCCAATTGTTATTTTCATTAACCACCTAGAAAGGCAATGAGTTCATCGCATAGCTCCACGAACGGAGTCACCATCAAACCACAGCAGTTTCCTGAATATGTCTGTTATTTTAAAGATATTTTTTGGGCATTTTATTGATGGGACACAATTTAAGCATGAAAGGGGGACGGAGAGCAGGGAAGACGTGCAGCAAAGGGACAGAATTTTTTACCAGGATTTATTCCCCGGGAGATTTCAAAAATACAAAAAACACCCAATCTTACATTGTTAAAAAGTAAAATAGTCGTCACATCGAAGAAGCTTGAAACAGCAAATGTTTAATAAATTGCTAATTCTTTTTATTCATTGACTTGAGTTCATTTCAGAGCATTTGAGGCTCAACATTCTGTGAAATGAGCCTGAATAATGAAACACAGGTTCAAGTTCCAACTTTCTCAGGGTGTCAGTGTTTTGTCAGTTTCGTATCAGACGTGAGAAATCGAAACCAACAGGATTAGTTATCTGATCAGGTCTAAACTCCACATGAGGGGAAATTGTAGAGTAAAGACTTGTGTCAAACAATCTATGAAAGTTCCTCCTGTTATTTTTACACATTTTCCTAGACTTGCTCTCTGCAGCACATCAGCCAAGTCTGCACTTTCTGCGTCCAATATAATCGTCTCTTTTGTTACAGCCAACATGGATCAATCGGACAGAGGTGTTTTTTCAAAGGATCAGAAAGACTGTTTGGATTTGAAGTTGTATGTGGAACACACAGTGCGGGTTAGGCATAGGAATGGTCGGGATTATGGAAGGTCGGAGAACATGAAATGCTGTCAATCCTCCTGGTGTCGGTGTCAATAATCTCCCTGCTGCTGACATTGTGACTTTTCCTCTGACCGTGCTTCAGGCGAAATCCTTTCACACACATGTCGGCTCCAGCAGGAATGTAGCTGCACCGTCCACTGGAGGAGGTTTTCATCGACTTCCTTTGTACAAAAGCTTTGATTGTTGGATGCATTGAGGTGTATAGAAAAGGGAAATGTGAGCAGGTATTTTAGGCATCTGGAAGTAAAGGTCAAATTCATTTTCTGCATCACAGGGGATGTTCAGCTTGCATGGACGTTTGAATTATTCATTAACAATATAATATGTGTGAGTATTCAAACATTTGAGGTACAGATGTTAAAAAATGAGATTCCCCTGTTTCATTTTGATCAATAACATAAAATTCCAAAGTCTTTAGTCCCATCGCACAAATATTCACATATTTCAGGTTGAGCTGTAATATGAGGAGAACTGGGTTTGCAAAAATTCTGGACTTCATAGAGTTGGCCGGAAGAAAGGAGAGACGGAATGAACAGAGTGTAAAGCTGGGGAGTGTGACAGTGTAAAGGTGTGTGTGTGTGTGTGTCGAGAGGAGTGATGCGAGTCGTGGTTCAGGGATGAGAATGAGGAGGGAAGCAGAGAAGATAGACTGAAGAGTCAGTGAGCAATGTAATTATTCCTCTCGGCAGGGAGAGGGTGAAATTACATCATGCAGCGTGCTTCCCTATACCAGGGCCACACGCTGCCTGCATGTGAGTGTGTGTGTTATTACAGTACATGTACTTAGACTGTATGCACTCTGTGTGTGAGTGTGTGTGATGGAGCATCACACACACACACTTACAGAGCATGAGGGAGGGGGGGTAGCATAGTAGATCGTGTCCTCATCAGCATAATCATAACTGGGTGCACACACAGTCATATACACACAGTCATACACACACAGTCTTACACACACAGTCACACACACACAGTCATACACACATGTTGCTCTACACACACACACATGCCATCAGAGACAAAGCCTGCTTCCTTCATGGCTGATTCAGGGAGGGATGTGGAGTTGTGTTCCCGGTGGATTTGGGGTGTGAATGAAAATCTCATTTCCAGCTCTAAGCCTCTCTAGTTCAGGAGAACTCAAGACAGGGAGGGGGTCCTGGATCTAATTAATCTGTTCCCTTATTGGACTGGTAGCCCGCCAGGTGCTGACCAACTGTTTCCCATCATGCACCTGAATGACATGAATCTCAATTCATGTTTATGTTTGCTCTCAGCTTTTGTGAAGAAAAAGTTTTTGCACAAGTCGGAAGCTAAAGCAAGAGATTTTCCCAAACCCCTGTTTACCTGCGCACGTTACATTTCAACCTCAAAGTCGAACTCATATTTTTATAGATCTGATTTACAAGAACTGAATACTGTGCGGAAAATGTAATGCTGCAAAAACAATGTATTATGCTTTTTCATATTTTCTCCATATTATGTTGCCATTTCAGATGTTAGTTTAAAATAATGAGGTAAACAAACGTAAAAGTGATCCCTGCGAGACAAAAGCTCACAGCAGGCGTCCACTGCTCCGAGGTTTCAATGCTCATTACTTCTTCCACAACGAGCTGATGTCAGCTCCTCTCAGACTTTTTCATATGGTCAACTACTCCATGATCGGCCGGCTCTCTGTAAACGGTCTAACTGAGAAGCATTATACACATTAAAGGACCCCTGTGCAGAATTTAGCACCATCTAACTGTGGGGTGGCAGATTAACGTGAAAGTGTGAAAGCCCATATTTAGATTGAGTGTTTAGTTTTTACATTCTGAAGAAACATTGCAGAAGAGGGCCACAATAAACACACAATAAAATGATATTTATGATTATCAGGTTCCATTTCTGCCAGTAGATTATTCTAAATCCTGCACAGTGGCCCTTTAGTCCCATCCCATGTACAGCTACTACTACATCAGCTTTTTATTTCCTTACATCAGATGTTTTCCACTTCCTTCAGTATTCATGCTGAGGAAAAAACACATTAGTCTGGAATAATAATTAAAAAGATAAAGTTCTGTATGTGGCCAAGCAGCTGGTTTACAATAAAGGTTATAGAAAACAGTTCAGTACAAACGTCATCCCATATCACTAATGGACCAGTTTTGAATCCTCCTATATGAATATTAAACAGTGTCGCTCTTTGTACCGTAGCTGCGTTTGATCTGAAATGTCATGTGATGTCAGCGATGGAGGCTCCGCTCCTCCAGCACCCAACCAGCGCGCCAGATTGAACAATCTGTTTACCGCTCAGCAGGGTGCTGGAAATACTGCGTTCATCACATTTGCACCCACGCAGCTCCAGTAATATGCAGAATCTGTCAGCTCCATCTGCCCTTTGGCTGACACAGGTACAGTATGCATAAGCACAAGTATGTAAACATAGAAACATCCTGGTGTGCACATACATAGCTGCGCACAAACACTCACGTAAACCTTCCACATCATAGCTGAGACATGCACAAACAATATTAGATCCTTCACACGGCCTCTAGCTGCGGGTACAGTCGCACTCAGGCATCATGATGGTTTCTCTTCAGCCTCAGTTGCAGTAATTGTCAGTGACCCAACAAACATGACTCCTCTCACTTGTTCATCCGCATGCTTGTTAGCACCAATTCACTGAGCGGGGTCTGACGAGTGGTTTGAACGATACCTCTGGGCGTCATAACTAATGGTGATAATGATGATAATGACACCGCTCTGTTTGCTCTGTTTTCTTTCATGGACATTTTTTTATTTATTTATTTAACTTTGGATTTTAAATGCAAAATTGGTGAAGAACTAATAACAGTTGTCCACTTCATTACATCCACCGAGGAGGTTATGTTTTCACCCCTGTCTCTCTCTAAGTTTCTCTTTAAGCAGGATCACGTAAAAAACTTCGTCTGGGAAGTACCCGTTACATTTTGTAGCATATCTAGATTTGGCGGCAGACGCTTTAACAGTTTTCCCAATTAATGATTCATTGATCTCGATGATAAAAATTTAAATATTTCAGGAACTGATATCGTCTGCGAAATTTGGTGCAGCTTGGTTTAATGTAAGGGGACTGTGTGGAGGTATTTGCTCTTCTCATTTGGTTGGTTTATTTAATTGACGCAAAAACTACTGAACACATTTCTACTGAACTTGGTGGAAGGATGGAACATGACCCTTGATGGGTTGATCTGATTAAAGGGGCAGAATTGTCCTTTCATTTAACGATGTGAGATAGGGACATTCTAACTTGAAGGGTTGTGTTGGTCTCTTTCTAAATGAGCCTCCTCTCCAGCTTGATCGTCACTCCACATTCTTGCAGAATAACTACACAATTATCAGTCTGTGAAATCTTCTGAACCAGCCACTCCTTTTATAGAACTTCATCACAGATCAAAAGCCAAAAGCTCCAAAAAAAATATCTTTACAATAAAAGTTCTCTGATGTTGTTTTTCTGAGCCACTGACATACACAGTGTTGAAGTGTGTCAGATTGAAATATCTTAAAATGTTTGCACATAAAGCCAGAACAAGATGCATGATTACCGTAGTAGGTGAGTGAGCAAATAGGGGATTTTGTATAAACGTATCCTTTAAGCTGTTATAAAGACTTTTATGTCGTTGTTAGAGTCGATATTGTGGATTTAGGACTAAAATAATTTTACAAGTCCAAGCTCCCTCCATGCTCATAATGATGAATGAGTATTCTGTGATGCGTCGAGTGTTTACAACGAATGACACCAAAGTCCCATTCGAAGCATTATTCAGTCTGCTTTACCTGATAATCCACCCAGTGGGGAGGGCAATGAATCATTCCTCGTGTCATCCAGGGCAATAAAAGCAGCACGGGCATCCAGTTAAACAGACGTAGCTCTATGGAGTTACCATCAAAACATCAGGCAGATTTATTAGCAACCATTTTTTATCTTCTCCTCTCCGCCTCCCTCTGCACTGTCTCTCATTTAAACATTTGACATTGACACTCTTTTGCAGACCATCATAAACAGGAGAGCAACAGTATAATCCTGAAGTTTTTATTGCAATCAATAATAAGGAGTACAGGGGTCAACGCAACAACATCTCGAAGATAAATGTTGCAAATATTTCTTTTTTCCCTGGAGTCATCACGTAATGATTCTCCCCTCTCCACCTCCTCCCTTATTCCGCTTCTTCTTCTTCCTCCCGGCAGAGCCGCACTTTATCTCGGCGTATGACATCGGCCTCTTCACTTTCTTCTTCCTGAGGGAGAACGCAGTGGAGCACGACTGTGGGAAAACGGTCTATTCCCGTGTAGCGCGAGTCTGCAAGAACGACATCGGCGGGCGATTCCTCCTGGAGGACACGTGGACCACGTTCATGAAGGCGAGGCTCAACTGCTCACGCTCCGGGGAGATCCCCTTCTACTACAACGAGCTGCAGAGCACCTTCTACCTGCCAGAGCAAGACCTCATCTACGGCATCTTCACCACCAACGTGTGAGTAAACCTACATGGATCTCCAGCTCTACCCCTGGTCACACATCAAATGACGTATACTATTGCTAATCGTGATTTTATCAAAAAAGTTGTTGAAGAGTTACTTTGCAAGCACAGAGCACATGATTCCAACATTTAAAAGTTATTTAATCAATTCCATCTAATGAGAAATTATTCACGCGTTATATATAAATAACATACATTTCCAACTTCTTCATGATGTCATATGACAGTGAATGATTCAGCTCATTATCAGCTTTAGATTATTTCTCTATTATCTTAGAAGGTATCAAGGGAAAGGGAAGGTTTTTTGGACCATGGTTTTGTTCACATTGACCTTTGAACTTTTAAGTGATCAGCTCCAAAAGTGAATCATCTGGAGCGACTCTGTCAAGTGATGTTCACACCAAGTTTGGTGAAAATCAGTCCTTGCATTGTTGAGTTATTTTGTACACACACACACATAACATATTGCACTGGTGTTACATTTTCATCAGCTGCTTCACCCTCATGTCTGATTCATCCTCTTGTTGGACCAACTGTGCTTTTGTTTGCAGATTTTATTCACATATATTCTGAGAAATGTTTTCGCCTCACAGCTCAACAATGAGCTGCCATTTTATTCAGGACGAATAATTGGAAAAAACAGCAGCAGCTGAACAGTTCATCCAGTTATCTTGTCATAATAACAGCATTTCTCAAGGTCGGATTTAGTTTTGGTGTTTGTGTTAATGAGGTTTCAAGTGTGTGTCTTTGATTCGGTGCATATTATCTGAACTGATCTATGACCACACACGCAGACGAGCTCAAACTCCCGGGTTTCAGCAAATGTTTTTTCTGGGAGAAGGGGAAAGATTTTGATGAGAATTCCTCGTAATAACAGGATCTCATTTCCCACAGGTACAAATCCTGCCACAGTTTTATTATTCCATCTGTAAAGGAACAGATGATTTGTCAGCACATTGTTCATTTCTACATACTGTATCTTGCATTACTCATTTCAAAGCTTTACTGTTGCCTCGATAATTACACCTTTGGGAGACATGAAAGAAATTGCAGTGGCATACTTTCTCGAAGGGGTCAACTCAGATTATTAATCTGAATAAGATTAATAAAAGTGGTAACGGGACACCAGGTCTACTGTTGCTATAATATGGTTTTTATTATGTCTGCCAAAGAGGTTTTGTTTTTACTGTGCTTGTCTGTCTCTTAGTTAGTTAGCAGGATCTCACAAAAACTACCGGACGAATATCCACAAAACTAAAAATAATCCATCAAATCTTGGGAATCTCCGGGAAGCTGCACACACATGAACGACACTCTCATGCACAACAGATTCAGAGTGACAGATTAGAATATGGTGCACAGTCTATATAATTAACGGTAAAAAGTGCTTTGATGTTTTGATATAGATCATTAGCCTTAATCACAGTGAGTTTACTTCTGGAAAGAAAAACTTCAACTGTTAAAACAAATGCAGATGCTTTTCATGGTTTGTATTTCGAGTGATGGAACAAAACCTCCAGTCGCACGGTGTCACAGTGAGCATCTAAATAGACGTTATAAAAAGTGAAATGACTGTAATTGACTGCTTAAATCTGTGCTCCTCAACATCGTCCTCGCTGGTGAACAGAAAAGACAAAACAAGCTGCAGCTGTGCTGAAGAAGCCTTTTTAACACCAGCGACAGTATTCACGGGGGAACAGTGACATGCAGACCAAAACACTTGAGCTCGAGCTGCTTTTCATTTCAGCCCAAACATTTCATCACTTCACGTGGTTTGTTACTGTGACATTTTCTCCCCCTGATACAGACACTTTTTGTCCCTGCAGAGTTTAGAGCCTCCCTGATGCCGCTAATGATCAGTGTGGATGCGTGCAGCTCTCAGCCGAGCCGGATACACAGACTGACTCACACTCCCTCTGCTGTTTGATAGCTCCGAGTGGGGGTGTCACAGACTTCATTACATGAGAGGAGACAAACTGTGTCGGTTAAAGCTCACGTTAGGTAAAAGTGTAACTGCGTCACATTTTTGAGGAAGCTGTCGACAAGTTTGGTTTGATTTCAATGAGGAAAGTATAATGAAGTTGGTCCCAAAATAATTATTTTGTCTGACTTCACAACCAAGGCACAACTACTAGATACTGGATTATTTACAGTGCCTGTATTTGTGGCAAACATCGGGTTCAGGTCAGGCAAATTTTTTCGCGGCTAGGTGGGATTTGGATAGAAAAACCGCAGCCCAACTCGAATTTACTCTAGAGGGCCATTCTAGTTCGAATCAGTCAACTGTGTGTGTGTGTGTGTGTGTGTGTGTGTGTGTGTCAGCGAGCACAGTCTGTGGTGTTCAGGTGTACTCTGTGTTCTGTTAGGAAACTGAACCCTGCCTCTCGTCTTCTGCTCTCTCACCTGTTAAGCTGCTGGGATTCTCCACCACACGGCTGCTTTCTTTTCAGCCTGCACTCTTTCTTTTGTGATAGATGGAGAGAATGGGGTATACGTCAGAGAGACAAAAGAAAAGGAAAAAAGGCCAGAGGAATAAGGCAGGAGATGGAGATAGCGAGAAGGAAATGAGAGGAGGTGATGAGATGAATCAGCGAGCTCCGAGCTTTTGTTCATCGTCTTTTGTCTCCTCCTTCCTTGGCCTTCCTTTCTGAAGCAACTCATTGAACCTGCCTCTAAAACCTCCTCCCTCATCGGGTTGGATATGTTAATGCAATCACCACAAACACTGTCGCTATCTGCCCGGCCTAAATTGAACAGCTGCTCCCAGGGATTTGGGGCCGTTAAAACACAACAGGAAGAGTTGGAACAAAGTCCCCGCTCCGTTTGCTCTCGATCTCGATCTGGTCCAGGTCCCCCCCCCACCCTCCTAGACTTGATATTTCCATGATCCACAAATTACTCTTGAGTATCTTGTAAGTTGTTAAAGACGTGTTACGAGTATCTCTAACTGTGTTTCCTCTGCCTTTGCTTTGTTTAATTGTGATTTAGTATCTTTGGGATGGACGATAATGTGAGAATCTGTTTTGCTGTCTTGATGATTTAAGAAGTTCACCGGTGGTTTGGTTTCTGCACTTCATAAAACTGACCAGGAAACCTGGCAATAAGCGGATACAAAAAAAAAGAGAGAGCCCTAAACTGCAACTGAAACTGAAACTGAAATCCATAATGCAAATCACCAGCGTCTCTCGAGTATCGAAAGCTGCAGCTTTGTTCCTCGTATGATGTGTTCAGGCACAGTATTGAGTGTAGGTCACCTATGTTTCAGAGCCAAGTTTAATGTAAAGAAAACGTAAGTACGCTTCCTCTATTTAAATTTCAAAAACACACTTATGTGTCTCTTGGGCTATAAACTAATATTGTGAAACATCTGCTTTTATGGGTTGAATATGGCTCATAACGCCACCTCATGGTAAACGTGTTAAACGTGTTAAAAAGTTTACACCCTCTTATCAGAGGTGGGATTAGCTTCACCTCACCAGCCAGTGAAGTTACACTTTAAAGTTGAAGGTTCATAAACCTTATTAAACATCAGATTTTATACGACTGAAGTATTTTCACTCGCTGAGTACATCTCATAGATGGTGAGCTGATTTTGATGTTCGAGATGACTCCAAATATATAATGGATCATTCAGCAGCTGAAGGCCAACATCAGATGAGAAGTTGGAGAAGTTAAAGGAATGATTCTGCTGAGACTTTCAGCCGAGCCCGTCGAGTGGTGCGGTTATAAAGTGGAGGCTTTTAGTATTCTATCAGAATGTGGACATGAGCTCAAAGCACGGCCGGGTCTTTTAATTAACTCTGAGCCCTGATTGGCAGAGTCACATGTGCTCAGAGCAGCCGAGAGATTCTCCTGCCGAGCTGTAACCTGCCATTGCTAACTCATTATGAGCCACCTTATCTATTTCTAGGTGACTTCAGTGACACCCCCTCCACTGTACTAGAGGGTCTGGGATAAGGAGGCTGAAACAAATGGTGCATTTAATCATTAGAAGATCGAGATAAAATCATTTTTCAGTACACGAGTATGATTAGTTTCTTTTGAATCATTTATGAGGTGAAAATGATTTATTTATGTTCGTATTATTGTATGAGATTAGAGCTAGAGTTAAATGTGGAGGCCGGACAGCGTCTTTCTGTGTGGAGTTCTCCCTGTGGATCATGGATGGATTTCTCTGGGTCCCGGAGAAAAGTATGTGACTGACTCCAAGTCCAGATCAGATTTGAAGTCGGTGATAAATTATAAACTTGGCAGCAACTGTACAATATTTCAGATGTTACACAACCTATCATATCAACTCACTGGCATCAAATTTACCTTGAAATGAACTGCAGGGCCCCAGTGGAAGACGCAGCCTGATCTGAATATGGTTTGACAGAATCTGCTGCTTGTGGACCAGTGTTTTTTTTATTTTTTTTATTATCATTCCTCCTGCAGATATTCTTTAAAGTGAAACCACCTATTGTGCTTTCTTCAGTTTCATAACTTCAGGGCTGATTTGCATTTGATTGAAAATATTGTAAAAACCGATCATGTCAGGTTTAGACTCACACAGCTCATCAGAATGTATTCTCAAATCACGATTGAGCTTAAATCTAACTCTAGGTTTGTGGAAGTGGTTGTACCTGTGCTGTTTATTGTTCAGTGGAGGTGTTGCTGACTCAGTCTGACTCTGAATGTGACTGTTTCGGGCCAAAGCTGATGCTTTTGCTGGCGTATTGTTGTGCTGTATAAAAATATGTATGGATAATCCCGGCAGCCGCGGTTCAATCTCTGCAGCCGTGCAGCTCTGCTGAGTTGGCCGTTTTCCTTTTCTGCTGCGATGCAGGTATTCACTGAAGTTGAAACATTGGCCTTATTGTAGTTTTAGCCCCCCCTCCCCCCCCCACATTAAATGAGGTTAGGTGCATTAGCCTAAAACCTGAGGTTTCAGCTGGACTCCACTGTTCTCCGATGCACTGCTTATTATGCACATTTTTTCTAGTCAATTGGGTTATTTATGTAGCACATTAAAAATAAATGTAGACCAAAGTGGTTTGGAAGGGAGGTTAAAATAAGAAAAGTCAGAACAAATGTTCGATAAATGTAAGAATGGAACAGATATTTGGTACAGAAACTGCTGAATTACAAATAAATCATAAAGTCTTGTCTGGTTTAAAACAAATAATGTTATCAAGTGACCAGATGGACTCAGTGATTGGTTGATCTGCACTGATTGTGGTTTGCAGAGAGTTTAACATTCAAGCTGAGAGAGAAATAAATTGTCTTTCAAATGTGTATTTTGGTGCCAAACTAAACATTCACCCAAGTGATTTATGTGGAAAATGGGAATCTAGAGTGAAGTATCTGACAAAGATGAAACAAGCATTCAGTTCCTTATATGAAGAATGATATATATTATAATATAAATAATATTTTCACTGAAATGTAATAAAAGTACAGTTACAAGTGCCTTGACTTTATACCTGCTGTGTGTAGAGGTACTTAAGTCTCAGTACATGCTGTTTGGAGAACATGGAGGGTTGTTGGGACAACTCTGTACACACTGAAGTGAAGAGGGAAGAAACAGAGAAAGTCAGAGCAAGTGTATCTGTCGAGTGCATCACAGAGCAGAGACGGAGCTCCCTGCTGAGGTTCCTGCTGATTCTCTCTCTCTCTCTCACAGCGACATGCACAGCCAGAGCGAGCATCTCAGAAATCCAAAGCAACGCAGGATATCAAAGTCGATATCGATTTAATAAAAAAAAAAAAAAGGGTTTTAACAAATTAGAAAAGAAAACAGAGGGGGGGGGATTACTTAGAGGTGGATGGGGATGAATTCTGTTAAACGGTAGGATATCATGAAGAGTCTGAGAGAACAAGCGGGGAACCTTCCCCTTAATATGAAAGTGATTACCGTGGTGCTCCGGCCTCGCTGAGCTCCAACAGCAAACAGCGGAGCAGATGTCAAACAGCTTTCACTCACACATTAAAACAGACTCGAAACATATGTGTTGCATCCATTAGTGAACCAGACTGTATTCCTCTTAGTGCTCGCTTACACTCGGTTCTCTTGTTATCATGTGCGGCGTGTAGAAATCTCGAATGAAGCCGACACCGTCAAGGTTCCTGTGGCAGAGCACGAAGCTGCAGTTCGACCACAAACCAGCAGTTTAACTTCCTATTATGTCAGACATGTGAGTGTGTGAGTGTATAAAGCTGTTGCGACCGCTGCTCAGTTATTGCAGCTTATTTGTGGTTTCCTCCAGTTGGGTTTTAGTTTTTTTTTTTACCACAGCGCTCCCTCTGCTTCACACACTCCACGGAAAATAAGAAACAAAAGTCATTTTGCTGGAGTCTGGAGGCTCAACAGCCTGCGGGTCCCTCAGCGGACCGACCTGTTTTGCTTTCCCTCATTGTTTAGCCATAGCTCATTTGGTGCTGAACAGCCCTTTGCCACTCTGAGGTAATGACAGCACACGTTTGTTTCCTCACAATCCTGAACTGGTTCTCTTGAGAAAACTCTATTCAAAACCAAATGAAGACAAACGCACATTTCTCAAGCCGGTTAGATAATCACCGTCCCAGATAAAAATGAAATGTTGGAAATCCAATTAATGTTTTTTGGGGTTTGTTGTTGGGGATCAGACACTTTGCTCTGTCATAGCAGAACAGAGGCTGGAATCAGAACAACCTAATGTCGATGTGTGTCAATGATCAGATTCATTAAACACTCTCACTGTAAGTTTTACCCAAAGGTCAAGAGTGAACATCCATGCACGGTCCGCAAATCGGCCTTCTCATCATCAAACCATATAAGTGGAGTGATATCTGTAACAAAAATAATCCAGTAGCTGACACTGCCAAGCTCAGAGATCAGTGACTATGTGATGAATAAAATTAAAAATCAGCCCACGTTGACAACCGAGCATAGTCGTCAGTGAAAAACATTTGACCGAACCCTGGGGCACTTTTTATTCAGCCTTTCCTGCCTCAGCATTCTCCGCTGGCCGCTTTCACTGATTAATACTTTACCACATATACCAAAACAGTTCACAGTAAAGGACCATGAGGTTTTCTCTTTTTCTGCCTCGTCTTCGCTCTCTGCCCATAATGGTATCGCTCACTATCCACTAACCGATGTTTTATCAGGTTTATATTTTATCTCCCAACTGTTGGAGTGAAGCGTTGGGCGTATATGGAAGCGAGAAGGTTAGAGCAGTTAGAGCAGTTAGCAGTAGCAGGAAGTTGAGAAACTCATTACCTTGCTGCACATTATGGCCAGAGAGCGGGATAATAACGCTGCATACACTGGCAGTTTAGCTGCTTTTTACTCTTGTATGTAACACCTGTGTGTGTGTGTGTGTGTGTTGGCTCATATATCCTCAGCTTAATATTGTCCCCATTCACTGTGCAGCGCTGATAGCAGAGTTTACCCTGCAGCCAAAGCAAGTCTGCCACGTAGCTCCTGTTTAGTGCAGGTTTAAACGATCCGACTTCCATTAGGAGGATGGAACACAACACATTACAAAATGGCTTTATTACACAGATGGGAGTGGTTCAATTCTGATACGGCTTCTCGTTCACATCCGACGTGCAATGATTTGAATACCTCTGTTGAAATAACGTCTTTATTTTTGACCTTCTTGTCTTCTCCTCTCATCTCTACCCGTCCTCCCTCCCTTCTCTGCCCCCTGTTATCTGTCTCTCTCTATAAAGCAACAGCATTGCAGCATCCGCAGTGTGCGCCTTCAATCTGAGCGCCATAACCCAGGCATTCAACGGACCCTTCCGCTCCCAGGAAAACCCTCGCTCCACCTGGCTCCCCACGCCAAACCCCATCCACAACTTCCAGGTCAGCTTATTGATCACGGATCTTTGCACAGTTCAGCTCTCCAGGGACGAGCAACAACAGAATCGTGAAATGTGTCCCCTCAGGGATTTGATCTCTTTGTTTAAAATCCTCACAGTTTCACAAATGATATATCATTATAATTGTAGTCTAATTCCGACATCAGGTCATTATCTATACTGCTTATTTTAAGTATTGCCAAAAAAAGTTAAAAAAAAAAAGCTAATTCCTTCGTGGTGAGCTGCAAAAATCCCAAATAATTCAAGATTCTGAGGGGACTAGATATTTATACATGAAAACATGCCGCACTAATCCAATAGTACAAATATCAGACACCCCTTACATTTTTAAATTATTGCTTTGGTTCCAAAATCCATCTACAACTCCGGCCAAAAGTGGAATCTACCTGCAAATCGATGTCTCATTTCAAGTCACAGAACTGAGCAGAAGCTGCAATCCACAGCTGAGCTGTGTAACCCAAACAAAGCTTTTCAGAGAGCTGTTGTTTCATATTTATTTTGTCTGCGGCATCTGATTATGCTGCTGTGTTGTTTTGGTCAAATCACAATCATAGAGTGGTTTAGAAAGAGTTGCACTTACTGAGAATAGTAATGAAGCACAAGTATTGATGTTTTATTCCTCGTACAAAGACAGGTGTGTGGGGTGCTTCTCCTTTATTCTTTTTCTTTTCGCCTGCATCCATTCCACATCTTCACATTCTTCTCTGACATCTCACCCTCCTCTCTTCTCTCCCCATCGTCTTCCCAGTGTGGGACCATAGATGATGAGGGTCCAAACGAGGGTTTGACTGAGCGCAGCCTGCAGGACGCCCAGAGGCTCTACTTGATGAACGACGTGGTCCAGCCGGAGTCCGTTGATCCGCTGGTGATGCAGGATGACGTTCGCTTCTCCAACCTGGTGGTGGACATCGTTCAGGGCATGGACACGCTCTACCATGTTATATACATCAGCACAGGTGTGTAGATAAGAGCAGAGAGGAAAGACATCTCTGAGTGAAGTATGTATATTTTGAGATCTCTCTGATATCTTCTCTTCCTTCTTGTCGAATCAGAATACGGCACCATCCTGAAGGCGCTGGCCACGCCCAACAAGAACCTGCAAGGCTGTTACCTGGAGGAGATGGAGCTCCTCCCGCCAGGGGTACGAGAACCAATCCTGAGCCTGCAGATCCTGCACAGTGACAGGTCGCTCTTTGTCGGATTAAACAACCGAGTCCTGAAGATCCCACTGGAGAGGTGCTCCACCTACAAAACTGAGATGTAAGTACAGGAAAATCCATGTTACGTGGTTTATTTAATCCGATATCTACTACACATCCTGGCTATCACGAGGAAAACAAGACGTTTGTTCAGTTGTTATGGGGAGAATGTTATTAACAGCATACTAGGAGCTTGACTTTAATTACATCCCAGAGATGTTGTCCAGCTCTCCGTGGGGATTCCTGCGACATTCCCAGTTCAGGTTGGATATTTAATCCCTCTAGCGAGTTTTGGTTCCACCCCAGGTCCTCGTCCATAGTTGAATAGAATCAAGAAACCTCAAATGGAAGGTGCCCGTACCAGGAATCCTAATTAGAAACCCAAACTACCACAACTGGCTCTTTTTTAATGGGATGGAGCAACATCTCGTCTGTGAGCTCCCTCTTAATGTCTGAGCTTCTCTTAGCCTGATTCATGACATCCTACGTCCGCAGCATCTTCCTCTCCACGGCCAAATCCAGTGTGGGTTTCCCTCGGCTTTGAAACCTCTGTTCTTCCTCATTCCAAATCACACCAACCTTCATGTTGCATTGCAGGAGATTGTTTTCCAGCTTTGTCCTGCAACTGTCCCACGTCACGATCTTCAGGCGGCCTCTCCTGGACCTGTAGACCCGCTTTTAGTTAAGCAGCTTCCTCAGGTCGTTCAGGATCTGAAGTCAAATAGTGCAGAGTCACAAAAGTAACAGTACTCAATTTCTGAATACGGAAAGCACAATAAAGTTGTGCTGCTTTCTGCAGTTAGATAGAATGTACAATCGGGGATATACACAGTATATATTGTTCGTTTCGTTGTTTTGTTCATTTCAACGTGGTTGGTCCTCCTATTGCAGGTAATTATCTGTCCTCAACTTGGATTAATGTCGGGAAGACCTCGGCTATAATCATTAAAGTCCTTATGGAAGCAGACGGATGACTGTGGCGGCATCTGCTCACCAGAGGAAATTAATTTGTTGTGGTGTTTCCCCCCCCCCCACTAATTAAGTACTACACAATATAGAGAAAGTACTGTCCTGGCTTTTGTTCTGTTCTGAGTCGGAGGAAGAACAAAAGGTGCGTGTGTGTGTGTCTGTGTGTTCGTGTGTGTGTGTGTGTGTGTTAAACTTCAAGGAAAGTTTCTCTGAAGGTACATTTGTGAGAGAAAGAGAGACAAAGACGCAGAGAGATNGGGGGGGGGGGGGGGGGGGGGGGGGGTTATTCTGCAATCTGCTTCAGTGTTATTCATGTGAAAATCTCCCGTCTCAAGGGTGAGTGAGGGGAGAAAAGCTAACTGGCTGTTTGTCCAACCTTCTGTATCTCATCAGCGCTTTCAATCAGGATCCTCCACCGGCCACCTCACTTCTTCAAAGTCGACTTCATTTTAGCATACAAATGGCTCCATGCTTTTTTCGTTGAGTGCTTGTGTGTATCTGTTTGTGTGTGAGTGTGTGTCTGTTTGTGTGTTTGTGTGTGTGTGTGTGTGGAGGGCAGTCCACTCGGTGTGATTTGTGCGTGGGTTGGTGCCTGGACGAGTTCTCATATGTGCGCTGCCTGATGAGTCAGCTCGCTATTTCTACTAAATTCAAAACTCCCAGACACATGGGAGCAGACACCACACACACACACACACACACACACACACACTTATACAGACATCAAGTGCATTTAATAAGATGTGGGTGAAATATGCGAGATGAGAGAGACACACACAGACAAGTACAGGAAGAGAGAGAAAAGCCAAGAGAAATACAGATACAGAGAGTGAGCAGCCAGAGTCCTATTTAAGACCCAGTGTGGTGAAATGATAAGAGCTGCAAGGGCACCACAGAGGAGGAGGAGGGGGTGTGGTTGAGGTAGAATGCACCGTCCTTAATCCAGTTTGCAATGTTCTTCTCACCTCTGCGTCTCTCTCTCGCCCTTACAATCTTTTGAAATGCACAGCGACCAAAGGCAAAGTGAGCGGCGGAACACGACAGATGTCAACCTGTCTGTCAGCACGACACCCGAGGTTTTTGCGGAGGGACGTGTCTGGGAGCGAAATCGAAAAGGGCAGATGGGATGAAGTTGAGTCAGGGAATTAAGAGAGGAAATGGAAGAGTTAAATGATGCACGTTAATGTGACTTCAGCAAATATTTTCTTTAACAGTTAATGTGTTCATTAGTAGAATATGGTAATTTGACTCTATTTATACTGAGCCTTTCTTGTCTTATCAACCACGCAAAGCACTTTACAGTACAAGCCACACCACCCCCCCAAACACACACACACACATTTCTTAGAACGCCAATCACAAACTGCCAGTATCAAAGGACACTGATATCAGACTAGAGATTTAATTCAGGGCTATGAGACATGAGAAACTATTTTATCACAGTCACCATGAATATTTAACAAGAACCAAAACATATTGTCACAAAGCTAAGATGCTCAAAATTAATTTTCATTCAGCTAAAACAATTTGCACAATATCCTCTCGGAATTGGGTAATTGCTGACTAATTGCATCATTATTACCATCAAACTCTGCTAGACTTTCTAACAACTTTCTGTCTGTATCACTCTCTCCATCCATCTCTCTGGGTGTTCACCATTCAGACACCATGAAAAAGACCCACCTGCCGTCCAACTCCGCCTGAACACACTCCCCATCATTGTGCTGCTGCCTGAATGAGCCTTTTCTGTTCGTGTCCCCTGCGTCTTGTGTGGTCATCACATTCACATCCCTTCGCGTGCCGATAACAGCTGAATACACTCCAATGATTTTGTAGCCGACAGCCGCTCATCTGCAGCCGCACATGCTGCTTTTCACCGACACATGCAGTAATGTGGCGGGCGTTGCAGCCGCAGAGAGAAGGCGGGACGTGATTTATGGGTAAACGAGAACTCTTTTAGTAATAGAATAATGGATGAGCTGTAGTTGTAAAACTTGCTTTTGTTTTTTGTTTTTTTGCAGTTTGAAAACAGTCAGAATCAGAGTCAGAATGCTGACTCTTACATTTCAGCTTTGGCCACAAAAACATATTTGAACGCTTGTACCGTTGCTGCAGACTCACAGGTCAATTATGTGTAAGTGCATTTAATGTTTACTTTTCCTTTGTTATTGATTCTTATTGGCAACTCTGGCGAGCCTCGCAACCCTGAGAGTGGAGTAACATTTACGTCGACATCTTTAACTGAAGTGCTTTTTCTGTTGCGCTGAGAAACCCTTTCAACGGCCGGTGATTTGTAGCCTTTTAGCTCGCAGAGAAATGCTGCAGCTTGTGTACCAGGATGTGTGTGTCAGCGCACAACCCTAGCCTGTGTGTGTTTGTCCTCTATTTGTGGTAATTATATTTGACCTGGCCAATTGGCACCTCTGGCTAACAGCGCCACTCCATCCTTCACCCAGCCCCTATCTCTCTATCTTACTCTGTTAGTGCTGTGATTTATTTTGGCTGCAGCACCGTGCTAGCTTCATCGCAATGTTGCATCCATCAGGGCTTTTCTTACCCCCTTACGCTGAAGGAAGAATTGTTGTCCACGCTGGCAAGTGGACGATGGATGAAACCATTGGTCTCAGTCAGGACAGTAGCACGGTGCTACATGAAGCCAGCTTTGAAAGCAGAGTTGAATCCTGGTTTTGCTCATCCTGTGTTGCTTAGGCGAGAAACCGGTTAGAAGGTAAACCAACATGGCATTATGCCTTGTTCTGGAAAGTTGAATAGTAGCACCTGCACCAGAAACCAGTGCTGATGATGTCGTTGCTGGTCCCATTTTGGTTTAAACACTGCGTGTTGATATGGATTAAAATGGATTGAGCCAAAATTCCTGTGTGGACAGAGATCGTTTCTTTTTGAAAACGAAATTGTAGTGATACGGATGTAGCCTAAGTTTCATAGAAAACTGTAACATTATTCCAACATTTTGGTTTTGATTCGTCAAAGTTGAGTTGTGGTCTTGAGATATAAAAACAACGCTCACAGTCATCCTGATGATTTTGGTTCCTCTTCACGCTCTTCTGTATTTAGTGTTAGTTGGTGGTTGGCAAAATTATCTTAGAGGTGCATGACTGCCACCAAGTGGACTGGAGTTTCTGCACCTTTATGTGTGCGCTTTACACATCTGTCAAAACTGAAGTTGTCGTACAGGAAAGTGTGAAACAGAAAAGACCAAAGAGGCTGTAAAGGAGGAAACACTGAATAAATAATGAGGATTGAGGTGAATGAAATGGTACAAATCTGTCTTTTTGTAGTGACTCTGCTGCTGCAGCTGAATCACTGCTCACACAACTGCTTCCAAAAACATTCTATAATAAGAGGTGCAATTTGGTGTTGGTTACATTCCCGCCTGAGGGCCTTTGGCTGTGTTAGCTGTGTGTTTGTGTGTGATTGTTTGTGTATGGTTGTTGTATGTGGCTGACTGTGACAGCAATGCACCAGCCTTGAGGCCGATGCAGCTCAGCCTGCCTGCAGCAGGAGTTTAAAGTGGCCATAGAGGAAATCCACTGACCATTAGCATCTCTGCTACAGTCTGTGAATGTGTGTGCTTATGGCTGCTTGTTAAAACCAGCATATATGAGACTTCCTTATTCCTCAGCATCCCCTCCTATAGGAGCCCTGTACAGAGGTTTGAACTTCCCTGTATGAGGTGAACTTACAGGTCCGTCTCCTACAAACCCAATTTACTGTTGGCGGTGGCTGCAGCCTGTCAGCAGGCCTCTAGAGCTCACTGCTGCTAAGCCTCTATGACCAATCAGAGGAACCATTCACCAGCCAAGGGCTGAGAGAGGGAGAGCGATGGTGTTCACAGTGGATGTATTTATTACTGCTCCACAACACTGTTGCGTTTATTAAAGCCTTTGTTCTGGCTGCAGTTCAGTGTAATCATTTTTCACTCTCATACAATTTCTGTCTTTATCGCTTACTCCCCCTCTTTTTTTCAGCCTTGATTTCGACTGGCACTCTGTCGGCCGCCAGCTCACCCCCTTACAAAATCCCTGATTCTGACAAAGTCAAAATACTCCCTGCTCCTTTTCAGGGAGAACGATGTAAAATGAGAAATAAATCAAAAACAAGCTGGCGGCTTGGAAAGACAGTTTCACTTTGGATCCAGCAAAATACCTTGATTTGCTAAACATGGAGGATAAAGACTCATATTGAAGAGAAATGTACAAAACATCCAGGTTGAGGTTGTAATTTCAGCTGGCATAGATTGTTACTGTCGTTGGATGAAATTGTGAACATCACTGGCAGCAGATTCTATGAGCTGCAGCTAATAAACATTGAAACTGATGATGTAAGCTGATGACAGACCCAAATCAAACAGTCCTGTTATGTGCAAATTGCTGTCTGTGTTACGATTATTTGTAAAAGACAGAAGTACCACTACTCCCAAAAGATCTGACCTTTTTATCACAGGCTCACAAGATAAATTCAACAAAAAGTTAAAATGTCAGTATTATCATATGAATAATTTAAACTAGAGCCTGACTGACATGGATTTTGGGGGCAGATACCGATATTAGGAAGTTAAACATTTCTGATTTGGATATATTGGCCAATATATATTTAAAAAGTCTGGTGTTTGCACACACTCTTAGATACAAGGGCCCTGTCTGACTCGTTTGATAAAGATCCAGAAATTAATCCCATAGAGGAAATAAACTTTTATCTCGCAATGTTAGAAAAGGATCCGCTCCACTGTTTTAAATGGTTCTTACCTGATCCTTGCACTAAATGTTGTGGTTATCTGTGCAGTAACAAACGGACAGCGGTTAAAATATAACCACCGCAGAGGTGGAAAACACATCGTTAAAGGCTTCTATCAACCGATAAATCCACCGGGCTCTAATTTAATGTGTAGCAGGTATAGCTTGTAAAATATAAAGTTTTCAGAGTAAGTAGACCAGCTGTACGACACACCAGTGAAAACATCACATTATTTTATATTCAGTTTCCGCCAACAGATCCCTTTCACTTAAATATTACAAACTGAACCTTTAACTCAGAAAAGATGAAGACAGATATGAGCTGAGTCTTTGAGTTGAGGCTCTTTCAACTCTTGTTGTCTGACTTTTTCTCAGCAAGAAAACATTTTGAATGGATGACTTGAAAAGAACTCAGATAAATGGAAACGCTTGATCTTTTCATCCATGTCTTTCTGTCATCTATCACATCACCTTCTGATATACTTACGAAGCTTTTCCTTGTACTCTCTCTTCCCCTGTCTTGTGTCTTTGCCTCCCCATTGTTTTTCCGAGATGATGCGGCTCCTTTTTATTCACCAGGGACTAAAATCTTACATCAGGGACAGCAGGGATTTTTTTTTTGGCAGCCAGCCGTCTCACTTTTGTTTTTTTTGACCGGGCACCATCAGTCTTCAGCCTGGCTCCGACTGGGCCTAATTGGATGTATTAGGGCTGAGTGCTAGCAGGAGTTCTCTGTGTTTCCAATTCATCATGAGCGAACTTCCTAAATGGCCGGCTCAGCCCGGCGTGTTGGAGGAGGGAGGGGTGGACGGGCCAGGGACAGACTCTCTCTCCCACAGAGAGATGATGGGGAGCGGGACGCTGTCAGTGGTGGTCTCCTGAGAGTGGAAGAAAAAGACGTTGCTTGTGTGGAGAGGCAGCAGCTTGCACATATGTTTAAATAAGACAGACCCTCCAGACAGCCTTTACTCCCAGAGTTTCAGAGCTACACTTAATAACGGCTGATTCCAATCCATAATTTATCAGTTCTGGTGATCATATTTGCAATTACACAATGACGGCCTGTCATTAAAGGCGAGGGGAACTATTGTTTTTATGTCTAGTTGTTAAAAGCCCTGTAATAAAAGGAGACACTGGTTTTAACAGCATTCACAAATGATTTAAAATGTCAATTACACACCCACAGAGAGAAAGGAGCAGATTTATGTTCCGGTGCCAATCGTCCAGACATATTGTTATATGGGCTGCTGGGTTTTGCTGCTCGGTCTGTTTAAAATTTAACAGGCCATGTTCTGCGGCCTCTCTGTTTTGATATAGTGTGCTGCCGGGCACGCACGCTGCTGAATTAAATATCAGGTGCCCTGTAGACTTGTCCAAGCGATGCTCTCACACACTGTGGCACATCGACAGCCCAAAGACAAGCACTTATAGTGTGCAGCAATGAGCAGGTATTCAGATAACATGCATACACACACACAGTCCTTATATTCCAGTGTATCTGCAGACTCGGCTGACAGCCTTCTGCTCCGCCTGTTTCTGAAATGAGCTTTTCTATTCCCATCTCACAGCCCTCTGTCCACCCACAGTGCTTCTAATTGACTTTTAAGGGGCTCTGTTTTAAAAGAAAAAGGCATCAGGAGGATTTGGCTGATGTTTTATGCAGCTGCAGAAAGGTCAGAGTGAGATCTAAACTCCCCCTGTTCTCTCCCCAAAATTAAATTCTCATTAATTAAACAGCCTGGAGTGAAGGATAAGATCAGACTGTAAACCTGTGTTCTGTTCCAATTCCATATATGTCGCAACATACGGTTTTACACAAGATTTACAAACGATCAAGTCCACACACTGTTATGCTCCCAATAATAATTTTATTCTTTTATTTAACAAGGCAGTGTTTCGATCTGCAGGAGCTGAAGCAGAGAACTGTAGTTTATAGTACAGTCGGCAATCAAGTCAAATCCTCACCTGTTCCATTTTAAAAAGATTTATGATTTTCTGGTGTTTCTCTCCCCTGATGTCTTTAGTAGAAACTGTTTTCTGCTTTCACGTCTGCAAAAGGAAAGTACAATTATTTATTGGGAGCTTAACAGTGCAGATGTCCTCTTTTGGATGAAGAAAACTTAGGAAGTACACTCTACTACAACCACTACCCAACTATAACTACTCCACACTTGATTAGAATACAGTTGGACAGTTGGAAATTTTACTCCATTGGTATTAATCTACTGTTTAAAGGGGGTGATGCAATTATCCAAAATATAAGTCTATGCTTTAGGTTTGCCAAAAAGTGCAGGTTTTACCTTGTATACAAATCTTCTATGGTCAGCACATACGTGTGCTTGCACAAGCTTTAATGGAGTTCTTTTCCTTTTTTCAAGATTTATTAATTACCCCTTAACGTCCACAACGTTAGCAATTTTTCAGAATTCCTCTCCAGCTGATGCAGTTTTTTTGTCACTTCTTACAGAACACACAACAATTGAGTTGTAGATTGAGCTTTTTAATATTTCGGCTAAATGTGACTTCCCTGAGGTCAGACGCCCCCCCGGCCTGCCTCGCGGCGCTCTTTACCCAAAACTAATTAGGCTTCAAATCTTCCCCTTTCATACAGCATTATTTATTCCATCCTTGAACGACGCACTTATAAATTGTTCTGCTTAGCCACGCATCAAAGCCATCACAGACACAATATGGTCGACCTTGAGCCAAAATGGCAACACGCTCTTCCCTGCGCCCTTTTTAAATGGACTATTAGGATCACTGAACTGTGAATTTGTGGCCGACCTCATAATGATTATTGTGTCATCTGTATTGGAGATTGCATCCGGCATCGCTCTAATAGTGTCACTTTATTAAAATGACACAGAAGAAGGTTAGCAGCGACTACGTCTCGCTCTTGAAGGAAGTGGTCGTCCTCCAGCTGTGCTACAGATCTTTCTCTCTCTCTCTCTCTCTCTCTTCCTCCCTTTGCCCCTCCCGTGCTCGCTCGCCCTCAGTCTGTGGGGTCACCTCTGATGTGCTGGCTCAGCAGTAATGTTCGTTGGATCCAAGCCGACCTCACGGTTCACTGTGGAGCCTCAGACGTGGCACGGAGAGCTGTATCAACACTCGGAGATTCCTCATCCTCCAGGCTAAAACACTGCAGGGCTCTTCAAATAAACCAAGAAGGTCCGTGCCAGCAAAGAAGAAAAATAAAAACAACAAGCTGAACGGAGAGAGCGGAGGAAGTTGTTGTTATTCAGACGCCTCATCCTTCGTTCCTGAGGTGCCCACATCAGCTCTGGAAGCTTAGCCTCGTCATTAACAGCTTTAGATTTAATTAGCCGTCATGAAGCCTCAGTTTTACTGGAGGACCTCGCAAACATGTAATCACAGTTTGTGTGATGTAGTGTGTGTGTGGTGCTGCTCATGAGACACCTGAGTCTCATCCTAACCCTGAATGTGAAGTTTACTGAGTCACAGTCAAGATGGGCGACGTGACAGCTCCGCAAAAAGTGAAGCCAAAATGTCTGGATCACCGCCTGGTGGTTGGCTGCAGTTTAGACCAACTGTCTCCTCCATGTCAGTGAGTGGGACATAAACCAAACAAAATAGTCAAAGTACACATTCAATATATTTTTCTCAAAGATTCTTATCACACCAATGTTTGAGCCAGTGTTTTCCTGATGACTTTGATTTTAATCGGTTATTTGATGCAATGAAAACATGGTGAAACGTCATGGTTGGTGTAAAACGTGTATCTGCAGGACCCTCACTACCGCAGCTCCATCCTCTGCTACGCAGAATTGGTCAAAGGTCACAGTGGCCTAAAAAAAAAAGTGTGTATATTAATACGACTGCAGGGCTGTGATATTTGGTTTTTAGTTTCATCTTTCTGCTTTTTACACCAATGTAAAATCAACTTTTTTTCTAGTCTGGTACATTCACAGTGTTGTGTACAATGTGTACAACTGTCTTCCTTAATGATTAAACTTCTCGGTTTGCTGACACCACACTCTTCCTCCCTCCTCCACTCTCCTCTCCCCCGCAGGCTGTGCTTGGAGGCGAGGGATCCCTACTGTGGCTGGGACTTCAGGCAGCGGAGATGCACCACGCTGGAGGACAGCTCCAACATGAGCCAGTGGAAGCAGAACATCACCGTGTGTCCGGTAAGAATGACGTCATCTTACAGCATTTTACTGTAGGAACGGTGAAAACACAGCATCACATCTGTTCCCATGAGGCTCAGATGCACAGAGGTAGTGGAGATCTGAAGTGACCGTAGATGCGTCTGGATGTTTATTTGTGTTACAGCCCGCGACCCTCGGTGAATAAGTGGTATAGATAATGGATGGATGGATGAATCAAAACAGATTAATAATCTATAGTCCTCTGAAAACTGGTTAAATAACTCCGACTGATGTTTGGTGTTTGTTTTCACAGCTGCGGATTCAAACCACCAATGGTGGCTTTGGACCCTGGGCGCCGTGGCAACCCTGCAACAACGACGATGGCGTGGACGGAGTCAGTTCCTGTTTGTGTCGCTCCAGGTCCTGTGACAGCCCCGCCCCTCGATGTGGAGGCAAAAACTGTGAGGGCCCCACCATCGAAGTCGCCAACTGCTCGAGGTATAGAGAACGACCATATTCTAACAACAACAACTCAGTTCTTATAATAAATCATATTTAATATAAATGTTATAATAAAGGTTGAAATGACTGAATCATAGACCTATAGTGTAAATAAACCTATAATAACTGCAGTTAACCTACTAAACAAACGAGGTGTTACTCATTCAATCCCAGTTCTTAACACTTCACAATGTCTCCCACTTTGTCACAGAGTAGCCTGTGAGTGCTGTTACTAGTTTATAAATTACCCAGCAGCCTCTGGACAAATTGAATTCTTGATATGCTTGAAAATTATGAGCCCAATAGATCATTTTCATTTTTCAGAATCTGTGGTGTTTCGAGTAAAACCACTTTTAGTTTGGAGCTGCTTTTAGTTTAATGTGTGGATTTATTATTTTCTCAGTTTTTTCATTAGATGTTGGTTATTTGATCACTGCAGTACTTATCTTTTATAACGAGTGTAATTATTTGTCATTCATTTCATTATATTTGTTGTATTTTTTAGCTTCTTTGTGTTTTTATTGCATCTTATTTAGAGCACTTCTTGAAGAGTCCAAACCCGCTTTCCCTAAAACTGTGCTTTTGTACAGTATTTGCTAGTAAATAATAAATATACCGATAAATTATACAATCCCTGTTGTATAATAAATTAAAAATGTGGCATGATCTTGTTAAGCTGGACAGTGAGGCTGTGATTCAGCTTATTAAGCAGTTGTATAAAAGTTAAGTCCAGGACCAGATTAACTCTTTAACATATTTTCTTAAACTCTGCCATTGTAGCAGCAATTTCCAAACTGATTTTGAAGCAGCCACCTCAGGCCACTATTTCCATCCTGCCCGAACATGAGAAATATAATGAGTGTGAATCTTATTAGAATACGTAGGTGACACCTCTCAGCACCTCTGTCTGCAGGGCGAAGTGACCAGTCAGTGTTACAGCCAGCGGAGCCCAGACAGTGAGATTAGACACTTCCATCTCAGCGGATAGCTGTGCCAGATTTAATCCTTGGTGTCGAAATTGAATTGTGCGTTAGCAGAAAGTGGCAATTAAATCATGAGTACTACTACCCAGGACCAGAGCACTTAAGCAAATTGAATGAATGTTTCCCATTCAGAACGAGCTCGCTGTGTGTTTGCATCTCTGTTTCCAGAAGCTCAGACAAAAGCCCAAATTCTTATATTATTATTTCCCATGAGCATTTGAGAACACCTTGTAAGAGAATTATTAATTTTCTAAGTGAGAATTATACAAGTTTTTGAACCATTGCTACAGAGGTGGTCAGTACTTGTTCTTAAATATCTGCCTGTTGCCACAGAAATGGAGGCTGGACGCCCTGGTCGTCATGGGGACAGTGCAGCACAACCTGTGGTACAGGCTTCGAGCTGCGGCAGCGTTCATGCAACAACCCTTCACCGCGACACGGCGGCCGTGTGTGTGTGGGGCCGAGCAGGGACGAGAGGTGAGGAGAGCTCTTAAGACTGCGTCATCATGATGGGATATTCTGAATTAAACTGTAGATCATGTCTCTGATGTTACTGTTTGCAAAGGTTAATGCATCACTACACAACATCGTTTTCTGACTTCACATGTTAAGGAACATGTGTTAATACTTTTTTGAGTTATTTTGTACATACACACACAGGGGCAAAAGAAAACCCCTGTTTTTACATATACCGGCTCACATGGTCAATCAAATAATAACCTTGTAATATCATCTTTGACTGTTCAAACTGGTCAAAATCCAAGAGCCGTATTATCGATATGATAGAGATACGATTTATCCTGTGACTTAATCAGTAAATACAGTTTTTCAGTCATTTTCACATCTAACAGTTTCAATATTTACAACCTTGAGCCAAAATACGTATTTTCTCATCTGTTACCATCACCAGCATCACCGTGCCTCCAAAACCACTTTCTGATCTGCCACTGATCGCTGTGATCCACTGTGATGGTTGTGTTTGGGTTTAGTCTCAAGTCCGCAGCTCTCACTGTCACTGTTATTTTGTCCCAATCAATCCTCATGAACTCCCCCCACCGCTGCCATCTCTGCAGGTTCTGTAATGAAGGGGTGTCCTGTCCTCAGCCCATCTTCTGGTCGCCATGGGGATCCTGGACCAAGTGCAGCACCGAGTGTGGGGGAGGTGTCCATTCCAGGGTCCGCACTTGTGAGAATGGCAACAGCTGCCCAGGATGTGCACTGGTAGGAAAAATACACAACCAGCTTGCAAGCTAAGGATCTGTACATGTGCCTCTGTGACATTGTTGAACAACAACGTTCTGCAGCTGTAGCTTGGTTCCAGAGATTCTTATCTTATCTCCATCCAGGAATACAAGGCCTGTAACCTGGAGGCGTGTCCAGAGGTGAAGAGGAACACACCCTGGACGCCCTGGATGCCCGTCAACGTAACCCAGGGCGGAGCTCGTCAGGAGCAGAGGATGCGCTACATGTGCCGAGCTCACCTGTCCGATCCTCACGAGCTGCAGATCGGACGCAGGAAGGTGGAGACGCGATTCTGTCCCAACGACGGAACGGCGGCCTGTGAGACGGACAGTAAGTTCAGCAGCTCTGTTGTGATGCCTCCAAGTTTCATTGGCCTGCAAAACCACCTGATGACTCGTAAACCTCAGTTTCTTTTCAATGAACCTACTTGTCTCAGTTATCACCATTTATTATTGTATGACTCATGATCGTGTGTGTCTGATGTTGTTATTTACTCTGTAACCTGTGCACAGAGTCCTTGGGGGAATCCTCCAACATTCCCCCGTAGAGACGCAGCTGCCCGAATTAATATAGACGAGAAAAAATAACAACAATATGAATTCTGTGTGGAGTTTTGCTTAAACTATAATTAATTCAGTTTTAGGTGAGAGTTGATACAAATGAAAATATGCAGTGAAGGCAGCAGCGTGCAAAGATTCCTCCCAGCAGGAACGAGAGGCCGCCTGTTAGCTTCTCTATGCTGTTAGAGAAGCGGCTGGCACATGAGCAACATGGGGTCATAGTCCACTGCTCTCCACTGGAGGCTTTTCCATGTCCCCCTCTACTCAAATGATTACCTGTCGTCCCCTGTCAGCCACCTGGGGGTGCCGCATTGACTGACAATCTGATGAAACACCCACATGAGAGACCCACACAGACTGAGGGACGGACAGAAAGAGAAATTTGCCTGTTGGCAAAGTCGTATTCAGTGTGTGTGACTGACACTCAAAAGAATCTGCATGTTTCATATTTTTCTCTTTAAAGTCTTCAAAGTCTCAGGGCTTTTATTTTAACGATCTGATCTTGTGGAACATTTAGATCGTGTCTAGATCTGCTTTTGCTGGTTTAACGTTGGAAGGAAAAGGTCACTGCGACAGGCACATGGTTCAAGAAGTTTGTACTCAAGTGTCAAACATGAACTAATAACATGCGATCTAATCGAATCTAATTCGTTTTGCTTTTTGTTCCCTTCTCTCCAGCCCTCGTCGAGGAGCTTCTGAAGATCCCTGTGGTGAGGGTGGCAGGTGCCGGCTGGTCCTCCTGGGAGTCCTGGTCGAGCTGCTCGCAGAGTTGTTCCAAAGGCTACCGCACCCGTCGGCGATCCTGTGCCGGACCAGAGGGGAAAAGCGCCCCTGTTGCGTGTCGGGGCTCACCTGTGGAGTACCAGGACTGTAATGTCCAGGCGTGTCCTGGTGAGTGAATGTTTTATTGGTTCGTGAGGAGAGGACGTGCACACTGAGGCAGAAATAGAGACAGAGGGAGGTCAGTGGTAGAATAACAGTGAGTGGATCATTAGCTTCATTAGCTAATGGTTACCAGACGCTGCAGCAGTGTAGCGAGAGCCCTCCGACAAATTAAATTATCTATTTCAAACCACTCATCAAACCATAATCAGCTGACCTTGAACTCTGCTGACCACATGTTGCTGCATTGATGTAAAACACACACACACACACAAAAGGGTTGAACCCTCTTAACCTGTCACTTTGAATAATCCTGGACGATATTGAATAAATTCATGATTGATGGTGCAAATCTGATCAAATTCCTGGAGGGTATTTAAATGTCAGTTGTTGTTAGTGGTTCGCTCAGCAGC